TTCCTCTGGCTATAGTCGCAACCATAGGCTGACAATCACATGCGATGCACTTGCACTCAAATTAATGTCCACAATTAGAGCAGAGTAATAGCACGGTTTGACTCATTATTAGACTAGGTCCAGTCAACTCTACGGTACGAGTAGGATAATCGCTGTTCATTTTTGCCGATAACATTATATATTTGAACTAAGTTTGGTTTTATATATTCTTTAACTAACCTCGACCCACAAATCAAATAAAGAGTACTATTCAATACTTTTACCTACCCATTCACCGAATGCTGCTTTGCTAATGATGGGAGTATTTTCATAAACTTTTTTACTAAAATTTTAAGATATACTATGTTACGGTAAGAATATGTTCGCCACGTACGCGCTACAGTTTGTAGCCTATACCTGTATTTCTTTACCACCCTAAATTAAAAAGGTTGAAATATGTAAATAAGGTAAGGAATTTTTTTTTCAGAATATATTATAGCATTGGACGCATCTATTTTCGCCCACATGATTTTCAACCAATTTTGTTTTCCAGGCATACTTTGACCTCTTTCGATTGATATTCAAAACGAGGCCAACTTTGTTGCGTTCTTTTTTGTTTCCCTTGTCCTGGTATTCCACGTCCAAATTAACTAAAGCCTACCAAGACTAAATCTTGTAGCTGAAGCTGATTCTCAATGAAAACGAAAGAAATCCAGTAGGTAATTTGATTAAAAACCAAGTAATTAGATTACTACAAGATTTAGGGTTTGGTTGGTAGCGTGCTACCACTACTCATGAAAATTCAAGCAATTAATCAAGCGCTTTTCAAGGCAAAAATCGCACGAGTTTGTCGCTGCTCTGCACGCCAACATTTTAGCACCGACAGTCCGAGAGAGCTGCTCGTTTGTCGGCTCAAAAACGGGCGTCTCATGAAATGGAAGGAAAAGAAATACTACTACCTCCGTTTTTTAAATAGATGATGCCGTTGACTTTTTCTCAAATATTTAACCATTCGTCTTATTAAAAAATTATATAATTATAATTTATTTTGTTATGAGTTGTTTTATCACTCATAGTACTTTAAGTGTGATTTATATTTTATACATTTGCATAAAATTTTTGAATAAGACGAATGGTTAAACATGTGAGAAAAAGTCAACGGCGTCATATATTAAAAAACGGAGGGAGTATATCATACGGCCGGTTTATGTCGCTGTAAACGTCACCTTTTTGTCGATCCATATGGCCAAAAATATTCTCTCCACCAATATAATTATTCCATACAAGATGCAAAAAACAATTGTAGATTGACTATCTCGACTATTGACTAGAAGCTGTAATTTTTTCGATGCAATATGGCCCTACAAAATCAATATGATCGACGCTCCTTTTAGAACACATAATTCTTTTTTGGGAGGTTAAAAAATGAGATCGTTCGCACAATCCAACCAATTCAACTAAAAACTAACGATATTATTAAAAAAAGAATTTTAATATGATGAGAGACAGACATATAATTTACTTGTGCTAATTTTTTTTTAAAAAAAGCCTATGGTCATGTGCTACGTACAATGATTTTCAGTCCGGCATTGTACAAGAAGACATCCAATCCCTGCCAAAAATTGCACAGGGGATCGATCAAATTCATGGGCAGAATGATTAACTATCCACGAGACAGCGTAATTAACTATCCAGCTGCATCGCATTATTTACAAAGCCACAAAGGCCTGCATGACACACATGTGATCAATCGATCTGATCAGGAGGCTAATATCGTGGTTGGCACGAGCTACTCCCTCCGTCCCATAATATTAAAACCTAGGATTTGATATGACGTTTTATAGTACAACAAATCTATACAGATGCATGTCCAGATTCATTGTGCTATGAAACATCCCATCCAATCCTAATTGTAATATTATGGGACGGAGGGAGTAGCTATTACGGCGCTGTGTCCCCTTATTGGGCCATGGTTTAGTACAACATGAGTTTGCCTAATTAAGTGGATAGCCATGGTCAGTCACGTGGTGCCGATCAACCTGTGTGTGTTTTACTGATTTGTTAATTAATGTACGGTAAGAAGAAACAGCAGCTGATGATGATCACCAGGTATAGGATTAGGGATTCTTATCTGATCGACGCTCCTTTAATTAATTGTTCTCCTGGGTGCAGATCGACAAATGGTACTGACGAAAATCATCCAAAGCCGCTGAAAAGCTTACCTGCTTTTTTTTCGAGTTGAACTAAACAAACACCATGTCACATGCACTAATTTACGGCGAGAAATTGAGAATTGAAGGCCAGCAAAGGCGAGAAATTTAAACACGACTGCACGAGCGGCGCCAACGAAAACAACGGGCGCCCGCCTCTCCGCTTATTCGCTGCACCACATAGTTAGGATCTACGGAGTATTTGGCATAGCTCAGCTCCGGCTCGGCGAAACAGTTCAGCTTTAATAAATTAGAGGTAGAGCTATGGACCCAACTCCATTCTAGACGGAGTTGGAGTACCAAACAGATCCGTAGTTTTCTGTTTTAAAATACAACAACATCTGACAATGTGTATATATATACTACCACTATTTCTTTTAGAGATAATCCCTTATATGCCACTAAAAATTGGTCTGATCCCTTATATGCCATTGAAAATTAGCTATTCCCTTTTATGTCATTGGTCTAATTTTGCGCTCACTTTCATGCCACTCCCGTCAGTTGACTGTAGGTTGACTGCTAAATCCAAAGTAAAAAAGACGTATTTACCCTTCTGAGTTGTTAGGCATGTCCTATGCTCAGAAGGGCAAATATGTCTTTTTTACTTTAGATTTAACGGTCAACACACAGTCAACTGATGGTAGTGGCATGAGAGAGTGCGCAAATTTGGACCAATGGCATATAGGGAAAGAGCCAATTTTCAATGGCATATAAGGAATCAGACCAATTTTCAGTGGCATATAAGGAATTCTCTCTTTTTTTATGATTTTATGTTTGATCATTTGTTTAAAAAATTATATAAATATTATTTATGTTGTTGTGACTTGTTTTATCATAAAAAGCTATAATATTAACATATATTTTGACATACATATTTACGCTGAATTTCTAAATAAAATGAAAGATTAAATGTTATGAAAGAAATCAACGGTGTCATTAGAAAAACAGAGGTACTTCCTTCGTTCAAAATTAATATAGCAAAATTTAAGAATGGATGAGATACACCTTAATAGTACAACAATATCTACTGTTGTATTATGATATACTCCCTCCGTCCCAACATCCCCTTCTAGATTGAGGTTTTTTTTTTTGGGACGGAGGGAGTCCCGTTTTATGTTCTTATGAAGTGTAGTATATATTTTAAGACAGCTATAGCACGTCAATACCATCCTGACAACGCCGATCGAAACATCAAAACTCGGACGCGCGTTGGCAGAGCCTGGTTGGTTGGTGATTTGGGCATTTGGCCGGGCAAGCAGCGCGCATACTTCCTCCGTTAAAAAAAACTCAATCTCATATTAGGATGGGACACATTACACATTCTAGTACAACGAATATGGACATAGGATGTGTCTTATCCTTTTTTTTTTGAAATTTAGGATGTGTCTTATCCTAATACGAGGTTAAGTTTTTTTTTTAACGGAGGGAGTAGGTTGGAGGTTGGAGGCAGAAGGCCGGCTGGCACGTCCGTTTCTGTTTGGGACTTTGGACGCCATTTTGGCAGTGGTGGTGGTAGCGCCCGTGCCAGTGCCGCAACGCAATCTCGTTTACCTTCTGGCTTCGTACAGGTGCGGCGGCCTAACTCCCACCATCCACCACACGTAACACGCAGTACATACGGTCGCGGGGAGGGGGGGTACAATTTGGCGAAGAGCTTGCCAACACAACACAGCCGCCTCAAGGTTCACGCGACGTTGTATTACCACGGAAGCTTCGAGCTGTGTTTCGTAAAGCTCGAGTTGGGACCTCTTTCCCCATTGTACGCAGAACAAAACGATGGTTTAGTACATGATTAATTAAGTATTACTTAAAAAAATTTAAAAAAGGATTTTCTAAAACAACTAATTTTCTTTTCTCTAAAAGAACATATATTTAGCAGTTTCGGAAATGTGTTCATATAAAAAAGGAGAAACGGAGAAATGAGAAGTTGGGGAAGTAGACTAAAGAACACAACCTTAATTTATCCTTGTCCAGATAAAGCAGGTGAATGATGATGTGTATGTACAGTGTACCCCACGGATGGCAGGTAACCAGTCCACTTGACTAGGATTTTCCCCTCGTGTCGTGTGGTTCAAAGTGGTGGTGAAGTGGATGGCGAAAGCAGATGCGCTCCGTCCCCGGTGGCGGCTCAGATGCTGAGATGCCCCCCTCCCTCTCTCACTTGGATAAAGTTGATGTCGACAAAATGAAGCCATCGCGTGGCGATTACAGCTAGTAATCCTTCCGTCCCATTTTAAATACAATTGTGAGTTTATATATCAATTATTTGACCGTCTATCTTATTTAAAACTTTTCTATGATTAGTATTTTTTTTGTTGTTATTAGATGATAAAATATAAATAGTACTTTATACGTTATTCTTTTATAATTTTTTTAAATAAAACGGATTGTCACATGTTAGACACGAAGACTGACTGCTGTACTTAAAATGGGACACGGATGGAGCACTACTGCAAGGTAATTTGTGCTTTGGAAAGCCACAGCCCAAGCCCACAACAGTTAGCCCAGGTACGTAAATGTAGCAGGCACAACATATATGGGCCAGAGTTAATTAGGCCATGTCTGGCAAACTTATGAGATTCTGATAACCAGCGGGATATCACTAGTACTACTATCTATAAAGCTGGTGAAATCTGATGATTACTTGGTCGTTTTCAAAATTTTACAACTACCTAGTTTCACGATATGAATTGTTTGAAGATGCTGGAGATTTTTAGAGTAGTTACTACAGTTGATACCAGATGTCCCAGCATAGGGCTTAGTAAGTTTAAGGTTTCATGAGATCTGTTTCAAACAGAGGATGCAGTGTACTCAAGGAAAATAATGGATTTTTTCATGATAATAACCTTAACCCTTTCTAGAAGTGCTTATATTTGTGAACGGAGTTAGCATATCTGTCAGAACCTCTCGATGCTTCCCAAGAACCATTAAAAATTTCAACAAACCAACACATTACGTCATCATCTACAACAAAAAAAGAACAGAAAGAACTGCGGTGAGATGAGACGCATATGATATGTTCTTTCCCCCCAAATTCTCCTTGTGCTGTCGCAGCCCAAATTGCACTAGCTACAGTCCTAGCTGTCACGCGCGCACGCGTCCGCCCTCGTCGTCGTCGTCGTCACGGCCGGCTGAACGCGCTCTTCGCCGTCCTCGGCACCTCGTCGAAGCTCTGCAACCCCTTCACCTCGTTCCACGGCGAGCTCTTCGCCGCCGCGCCGCCGCCGCCGCCCAGCAGCGGCTCCGAGTCCTTCATCTCCGCCATCTGCAACACACAAGCACACTCATGTCACTATGTCAGCTAGGATCGATAATCTTATTTCCAAAATCTGAACCTTTTATCCACAGTCAAGTCATTCGTAATGGGCGTGACAATTTTATCATGACGTGGCAAGACAACATTGTCACACCATTTAGATTGGTGTGGCAACGTTGTTTTGCCACATCAGATTGGTTGGCGTGATCAAGAGGTTTAGATATTTTTTTTTACGCAAAAAAGGGTTCAGATATTAAAAGCTACTCCCTCCGTTTCTAAATATTTGACACCGTCGACTTATTAGCACATGTTTGACCGTTCGTCTTATTCAAAAACTTTTATGAAATATGTAAAACTATATGTATACATATGAGTATATTTAACAATGAATCAAATAATAGCAAAAGAATTAATAATTACTTAAATTTTTTAAATAAGACAAACGGTCAAACATATTTTAAAAGGTCAACGGCGTCAGATATTTAGAAACGGAGGGAGTAGTATTGAAAAAGTTTGTTTTCAAAATTAAAAATTGAATAAGTTCAAAATATATATATATAGAAAAAGTGAGAGAGTAGCTAGAGTGAGGTATGGTGGATGGACCTGGGAGGAAGAGATGGGGAGAGGAGGGGAGGGGCCGTCGGCGAGCTTCTTGTCGCGGGACTCGGAGACGGAGAAGAAGGAGTAGAGGCCCATCCCGAAGATGGCGACGAGGATGCCGGCGACGTTGCGGAAGGTGAAGGGGTCCCTGAGGAGGACGTAGCCGAAGGAGAGGATGAGGCACGTCTTGAGGTGCCCCAGCACCTGGTACGTCACCGGCGACGTCGTCCCGATCACCAGGAACGTGCTGAAGTTCACGCACACCGCGATCGAGCAGGACAGCACGATGAACGCCTGCAATTCAACAACAACAACCACAAGAACACCATGTCAGCTCAGGCTCTGTTTGTTTAAGCTTAAGATTATTATAATATAGATTATTCAATCAGATTACTATAAGCTAGATTATAGTAAGCTAACATAGAATAAGTTGTAAGTTGTTTGTTTCTTTGAATTATTTGAGGCATCTAATAAGGGTAGTGGGTCTTTAGGCACACAATAATCTGAAAATAGCTCCTCCAGAGAAGATTATTAGATTATACTCCCTCCATCCCAAAATGTTTGACGCCGTTGACTTTTTTAAATATGTTTGACCGTTCGTCTTATTAAAAAAATTATGAAATATATAAAACTATATGTATACATAAAAATATATTTAACAATGAATCAAATGATATGAAAAGAATTAAAAAATACTTAAATTTTTTGAATAAGACAAAAGGTCAAACATGATTAAAAAAGTCAACGACGTCAAACATTTTAGGACGGAGGGAGTACTAATCTGGATTATAGATTATAATAATCTATCATAACAATCTACTTGTTTGTTTCAGCTTACTCCCAATAATCCAGATTATAATAATCCTAAGCTGAATCAAACAGGGCCTTAATCACGTCAACCATGGCGGCCGCGTCGACGTCATTCCTTCACTAGCATGATATGGCTTGACACACCAAGGTATACGTACGTACCACGACTTGGAAGGTGTAGGTGAAGGCGAAGACGTCGCGGTTGGTGAGGAGCTTGTCGACGAACGGGCCGGTGACGAGCAGCACGGCGGACTGGTACGGCGACGACTGGTACAGCAGCTGCGTCGACGACACCTTCAGCCTCCTCTGGATTTGGTTCGTCAGCTTTAGTTTCGCTCCAGGTGAAGGAGAGACAATAATCACACAAATTTGTAGAGTTCAGAGAACGAATAATGTTCAGAGTGTGACGGGTTTAGTTCCTGATTTTAGTTCATTTGAGCTAGAAAATTAAGGATACAATCTGGCTGACGCACGTCGCGGCGATGGTGAGCACGGCGATGATCGAGCCGAGGAGATTGAGCTGGAGATCGGTCACCGACGCGATACCGACTCCAAGGAGCAAGACCATGAGGGAGATCTTGATGCTCCGGCTGCAGGACAGTAGTGTTCAGTGTTGTGAATTGTGAGAAAAAAAAAACATCTTTGGTTGCATCAAAGTCAAGTTGATTCTGTACAACATAGTGCTATCAGAGAGTGAGGTGTGAATTTGACAATGACCTGAACTTCTTGCTAAGAAAGATGGTTTCCAAGAGCATGGTGAATGGTATGATAGCCAGCTTGGTCATCTGCAGAGAAAAACACCCATGATTTCAGAAGTGAGAAAACCAAAATGCAGTGATTGGGGTCAGCAAAGTGAATGGTGCTTGCCTGGTAGAAGCCAACTGAGTTGAATCCAAGGCAAAGGTTGAGGAGGCCAATGGAGATACCATTGAGCAGCCCGAAGGAGATGACGGTCTGCGCATCGATCGGCTTCGCCTCGAAGAACCGCAGCCGCTGCGCGACGTACAGCGTGCAGAAGGTCACCATCAGGTGCCAGCTCGTCAGCGTCGTCGCTGCATTTTCCACATTTCCAAAACACAAAATGACATTCAGAAACATCTCTACACACCAGAGACCAGACATTACAATTTACAAAATTACAACCAGTAAAACTACTTGACAAAAAATTTGTCGGACGGAGTACAGTATCTGAAACTCTCTGAAAGTAAAAAAAGAAATTTTCACTGACCGAAGAAGAAGCCCAGGGTGCTGATAAGGTACTTATTGCAGATGACAATAGCCACCGACGACGTGACCGACATCCCCAGAGCCCCGGCGACGCCGAGCCTCGACGCCGCGCCGTCCGTCGCCGACGACATCTCCTCACAGGCGATCACCTATCTGGTGGAAGAAGAAGATCCCATCGGTGAAACAAAAAGGAGGAAAACCTCTGTTACAAAATCTTGAACCACGCAATTAAATACACAGGTGAAAGAAGAACTGTCCCCTCTTGATTTGTTTTTAGGAGAGACGTGATCTCGGTAAGGAAAACCGAGCGTTGACATGGACGGCAGCGATCCCGATGGCGACCTCCATTACTGTACGGCTCAACCTCTGCGTGATGGGGGTGTGGTAGAGAGCACCATAGCGTCCATGTGAAGCATGTGTTCATGGCAACATTGATGAACTCACTATTCATTGCTCCATTTCTTTTTGCATTATATGACATGCTACCAAAATGTGACAGGGAGAAGTGTACACTAGTAGAATCTGAAAATTGGGTTTTCTGTCATGTTCTGTTGTAAGATCGAGGCATATGACTGCGGTTAGTTCAGTTATCACACCCAAGTTTCAGTTATCGAGTGACCTGAAATTAACATGTTTGTCTGCTTAATTGCATATCCTATATTGACAATGCTCAACAGCCAACAATACATGTGCCGAACAATGGGGTGCTCACATCACAAGAACACACAAAATAATTGGAGTGTTTATGACCATCTTACGTTTATATATGTATACTCATTTGGTAGATGGTCACATCATCAGCACTGTGTGTGTGGCAGATGGATATGAAATGGACGGATGCTTCAGCAGTTCAACGCTTCAACAGCACAAGAGATCAATCATCAATGGCGTCCAAGCTAACTACCAGTACTCACTTCGTTCCTTAATATAAGAGATTTTGACATTTTGCTTGCACTGTTTGACCACTCGTCTTATTAAAAAAAATTGTGCAAATATAAAAAACAAAAGGTTGTGTTTAAAGTACTTTGGATAATAAAGTAAGTCACAAATAAAATAAATAATAATTTTAAAATTTTTTGAATAAAACGAATGGTCAAACAGTATAAGCAAAATGTTAAAATCACTTATATTAGGGGACGGAGGGAGTAGTACTCGATCACTATCGTACTCTTGACTAGTACTAGTACTATAATTGACACATGTGATGGTCCAATCTGTACATAGGAGACTGCATGCATGGTCTTCGATCGCCTAATATTGAATAATTTAGTTGAAATCTGAGCTCTAGGGCTCTTGATCTGAGCAGTAATTTGCTATAGCCAAGGTCATTATTTAATTTGTTCGGCAGGAAGTACATTTGGGCTAGTAACGTATATGTAGCTAGTCAAACGAGGTAGAGGCTGGGACGTGTGAGATTCTTGTCCATTATTAGGACAAGGAAACTCTAATGTGCGTGTCCAAGGAAAATTTCTAGGGAAATAAAATCCTTTTTACCTTTCTCTAGAACACTTGAATTCCTAAGTCATTCTCAAGGCAAGATCTGCTTTTTTTTTTTTTAAAAAAAAGAGAGGCATCCTGCTAAAATAAATGATAACTAGTATGGTGGCTTGCGCAGATTGCGCAGCTAGCATCATTATATTTTCTCTCATATAATAGCATATATGTTTTCGCATTATATTATTCAAATATATTAAAATGACAACATAATTTTAAATTTTACAATAACTTTACAAAACTACTAATGTGTAATATTCATATTGTATTTTATATACATGTTAGTTATCAATTATTTTTAATATCAAATTTTAGTTATTTGTAAATTATATATATTCCTACATGGACTGTAGACTCGTCTTTTAATATTTCTTTTTTTAGTTCCGAATTTTCTGTAAATTGTATTTCTATATAGACTCTAAGCTCTTCTTCTAATATTATTTATTTTTATTTCTGAATTTTTATTATTTCTAATTGTATTTCTATATGGACTCTAAACTCACCTTTCAATATTCTTTAATTTTTAATTTCGAATTTCAGTTACTTCTAAATTGTATTATTATATTGACTTTAAACTCTTCTTCCCATGTTTTTCTTAATTTCGAATTTTAGTTATTTGTAAATTGTATTTTTATACGGACTCTAAACTCTACTTTTAATTTTATTATGTTTATTCCAAATTTTAGTTAGTTTTAAATTCCTATATGGACTCTATACTCTACTTCTAATATTCCTTATTTTTAATTCTGAATTTCTATTATTTCCTAATTATATTTCTATATGGACTCTATACTCTACTTCTATTATTCCTTATTTTTAATTCCGAATTTCAATTATTTCCTAATTGTATTTCTATATGGATTCTATACTCTACTTCTAATATTCCTTATTTTTAATTCCGAATTTCAGTTATTTCCTAATTGTATTTCTATATGGACTCCAGTCTCCTCTTCTAATATTCCTTATTTTTTAATTCTGAATTTCAGCTATTTCTAAATTGTATTTCTATATGGACTCTACCTTTTCTTTTTCTCCGATTAATGTGAGAATTTCTAGGCCATGAGAGTGAACGTGGAGGCTCATTTTTCTAATCCTTTAATAATATAATAGATTACGTAATTTCTTTTGAATAAGATAAATGATCAATCGGCAATCGCATCTTAAAAAGTTAAACGTACCATATATCATAAAATGGAATGAGTACTTACGCACTCCCTCTATCCAAAAAACGATGTCATATATGATTGATCACTTATATTTTGGGATAGAGGGATTATTAAATATGATAGCTGAGAAATTTCCATCGCGACGGTCACCCACGCCCGAAATTAAATTAGGTCGGCCTCGTGCGCAATTGCGAGATGAAGGTTCGCTCAGGAGCCAAAGGAATCGCGAGGGAGATGCCGCCAGCGTGGCACCGCCACGTCAGACGGCGTGTGACGTCAGCAATTGCACGGAACGGGACAAAGTGATCAATCATGCCCACTTATCTCAGCCAGTGAGCGGAAATAAAAACGATGCAAATGATCGACACCTCTGAATTGATGGATTGAATAACTAAATAAATAAGCTGCTGGAACAGCTAGGAACGACTTTGCTATAGCTAATACTAGCTGCATAATCTCGATCACATGATTCATGAAGTACACCAAAACCGAAGTCAGCCTCTTGCAAAGCTTATTAGGGAACGTACGTACTAGCTAAATAGACAAAAAAAAATAAAAAAAATAATAAAAAAGGCAGGAAATATGGTCACCATATAAAAGGATTAAAATAAAGAGAAACTCGCAGTTAACCCATTCCTTTCTTTGCGACGTGCGTGCGTTGAGCTAGCCAACTCGATGAAATGCCAATTATTCAACCAAAACGAAACGACTCGATCAAACAAGCACAACACGCAAAGTACACACACAGAGAGATATATATGCAATCCATATCCAATCAATCCGTTCTATCGATCGAGAAGGGGAAAAAAGACAAAACAAACAAGAATACAAGCCAGAGATGTCGCATGGTTTTCAGGGAGCAGCAGTATAATAACTTCAGCAGCAACGCAAACGCAAACGGAAACGACGCATGCATGCAGCGGAATTCACTCCCCAAATTTTCAACCGATCGAAACAAACCCAAAAAAAAAGAATTAATCCAGACGGGAAGAGATAGAGATCACGAGGAGATCGAGAGGAGAAATCGATAAACACGGGGGGGATGGATTATGACGATGAATACGCACCCGCTCGCTTCTTCTTCTTCTGACGACGAACACCTGATCGAATACTGCTTTTGTTCGATTTTGGAGATCGATCTTCTTGAGACGAGAGAGAGAGGGGGATATATCGCTAGCTAGCTCGCTCTTGTGGTTTCGATTAATACGGAGAGGAATTGAAGAGGATGGATGAGGAGGAGGATTAATAATGGTTGTGGTTTTTGTTAATCGTCGCTGGGTTTGAGCAAGCTAGCTAGCTAAGCTAGTTGTTGGAGGGACAGCGAAGGGGAGAGGATCGAGTCGTGTGTACTCGTGTTGTTGTTGTTGGGAGAAATGGAGGGTAGGTGGTGAACAACTCAAAACACACATGCACACACCCGTCCGCGCGCCGTCGCCCATGGCCCTCTCTCTATGGCATGTGGGCCCCACAAAAGATGAGGCCATTGAGGATCCTTTTTGTCGTTTGTGGAACTAAAACTTTGGCCCTGTTTAGATGGCACTAAAATGTAAGTAGTCTATATTTAATACTCTAAATTAGTGTCTAAATACATATACTAAAGTTAAGTCACTAGATCCAAACACCACCTAAATTATGGGCCTACTTGTAAGTAGAGGGAGATAAGCTTAGCTCTTTTTTACTTTTAATGGAGGGATTAATTTTACATGAATTCTGCGTAATCTCCTTCATTTCTATCTATCTATCTATCTACCTATCCTATCTTATCTATCATTGTTATTGTATTTATTGTTCAGGTAGTTTTAAAAGAAACTGCTATATTCTTTGAAGGTTAGAAATTATACAACGTAAATCACAGAAATAGAAAAAAAATATCTACTTCCTCTATCTAAAAAAATCCTGTCATGAGAATAAATATAGACATACATTATATCCGGATTCATCTCCATGACTCCAGGAATTGGTTTTATGGGACAAAAGAAGTACAACATTTTAACCGTGTAATCAATAGTTATACACAAAATGAAATTGTGGATATGCAAGCTAACAGTTGTATAGTACTAACACCACATCATCTCAGATCTAGCTCCAGATAAAATTATGCAGGAAAATCCACTAGGTAAGCTAATACCCATAAAATTTCTACATGTGCAAACCAAACATCCGCTCAAATTTTCCCCTACTATTTTTTTTGGTATTATAAATATATTTATCCCTTATTAGTACTAATCCATGTACAAGCTATCAACACTACATTACCAATATCTCATAGTGCCGAAGCTTGTCAAGTGCGAAGCTTGTCCAGCACTTGACAATGGGTAGAGATAAAAATGCCATTGTTGCTCTACTTTTTTTTTTCAATACTCCTACGAGGAGGTAGAAATGGTTTTATAAGCTTAAAGTTAGAGCTTTCTATATACTCCTATTTTGGATTACATGGTTTGGATTAACCTCTCGTGTGAGGAGGTGGACACATCAATTGATCAATCATTCACCAAAACGAAAGGCGCCGATCGATTGCCTCACCTCAACTGCCGTTAGTTCACAACGACACCTATATTTTAGCAGCAGCTTAGCAAAAACCTTCGCTCCCCAATCGTGTCCGGGCACGTGACGGCACGCCGTTGCCGTACAAAGTCTACGAACAATTCGTAACGTGTGTTCTTCAGACGAAAGGACTATGAATGTTGTGTATTGCAATTTGCATATATCTTATGAATTATGTCGATCGTCGGTTGAGAATGTGAGACGGAGAAAGAAAAACACAACTGATGCAACCGTGAGAGAAACATTGGTCAGGCCTAGCTAGAGGAAGAGATCCCATCTTTTCATTTATGATTATACTTATTAGCCAAAATTTAAATTTTCAACCTTAAACTTAGAGTTGATTTTGGGGGGTTTTTTTTCATCGCAGTTTATTTTCCAGAGTTTGCTTTTCGTTTGCAATGTTGTTTGGCTTATTCCCTAAATAAGCCAAACGATAGCCCCGCAAATCTGCTGTAATTCACAAAAGATTTGCGCATCACTGCGCCCCCGAGCTTCAAATTGAGTAATTTTTGTGAATGGAATTCAAATCGAGCAATTGCCAAGTCTAGGCCATTGAGATGCCAAAACCTTTGTTTGGTGACACAAAGTGCCTGCCTGACCGCTAGCAAAGCTAACGCAAATGCCAATGGCATTGAAATGGTGAGCGAGATCATTCCATCTGGTTATCTACAGCATTTTAAAAGTTTAAATTGCAGGAATCCACTTCAAAACCGAAGAACCCTTCAACTTGCACGTTTTATAAATACAGGAATGGATCGATGGTAAGCCTATACCAAACAGAAAGCAACGTGTATGACGCACGGATGTGTCCAAAAGAAAATGTGCTTGTGTCCTATCACCTTTAGGCAACATATGTTGACACTCGACTGAACATTTGGACCAGAAGCTTTGGATGTGCAAAATTCCGTAGCCGATTGATTAGCATAACACAAAACATTGTTTTCAACATTGGTCCATCTGGCAGCCTAACTGCAATGCCAAACTTTGATGAGGGACAGTACATGTTCAAATGTTTAAACCTAACTAGCAGCCACCAAGATGACAAAATTTGCATTGTTTCCTAAGGTCAAATCAAAAGAACAAAATCGTACTTCATGCTAGAGTTTATTGAAACCTCATAAAACAGTTTTCCACAATTCCAAGGTCTCGCTGCACTTTGATTCTTATTGATTCCACTACGTGTAATGATACAACAGCAGCGACCAATTCTGGTATGTACACTTCTCTTATGAGTGGGAAAGAATATATCTGAAAAGATGATTTTTCAAGGACTGCAAATTTCAAGGTGGTGTTCCATCTTGCTTATTCTTTTGGTACACATTCTCTAGGCATTCCTTTGCTCGGTGGACCTTCGACTGAAGATAAAAGCTCCCAGATTTTGCATTTCTTTCAAATAAATTATCATAGCGCTGCAATTTTTAAAATATATTTGTTAGGATAGTCGAATCATAATCAAATGATTTTTTTAGGAGCGCTGCGACCACCCCCCCCCCCCCCCAAAAAAAAAAAGAAGAAGAAGCCAAGTAGCAGACCTGTGCAATCTCTTCCCAAGTTGACTGCTCAGATACACCGAGTATCTGCCTAGCTTCTTGCTCAGTCATTGTTTTGCTGGCTCTACGAATGTTATTAATTGTTTCATGGGCCACACCAGTTTTATTTGCATCTGGCAGAATATAGGAGGAAAACTAACATAAGTCATCCTTCTTTCAAAAAAGAATAATAACAATTCTCCTACAGTCAAAGATTTGGCAGGAAAATATTAAGAAAGGTCATATTTGTCTTGTGGTGGCTATTAATAAGTACTAACGTATTTCCATTTTCTGATATTCAGAAGTTAGTTGTGAACATGTTTTTAGAGTTGTAAAACTTTAGATACAAGCTAATCAGATATATAGTTGGCCTGATCTCATAATTATGCAAATCAGAGTTCTTAGATAACACAGAGGTGAGTTCTGTATCATTGTATTGCAGAGGACATTTATGTTCAAATTAGGTAAATAAAATCCAGGCAAACAAGTACCATTAAAACTAGTAAAATAGAGTTTGTGCCTTTATGGTACTTCTTTAAAATCTACCATAAGTTAGGCAAAAAAACAAAGATATCCATTTCTTCATAAAATCATAAAACCGAAGAACTGACTTAACTGCAGGTACCAAATTGTTAAAACATAAGTGGACCCAACTTGTAAGTAGCTAGCACAGAATGATATTAGTAAACAATGAAAGTTCAAACTTGTTATGACAGTTTTAAGCCCCTAGATGCTAGACATCCATGTATCATAAATATGTCTCGCATGTGAGAAGAAATCAAACAACAAATCTCATGAGCAACAGGCAACATAAAACCAAATTGATATTGAGGGAGATAGCGTTATATGTGTAAGTAATACCAAAAAAGTTATAGTCCAAATGCAAGCATCTATAAAACAGGGTCATATCTTACTTGGACAATGACAATATGAGGAATTTTAATTAATAATTATTTGACAAGACAATGTCAATATAAGGAATTTTAATTACTAAGTATTTGATAACATCGTTTATGGTTCATTTTATAGAACTTGGTGCAGTATATAACAAAATGCAAAATTACCGTCCATTTTAGTTTTTGAGCGATTGTTGCTCCACGTAAGCGGTCTTTTCACAAAAGTTTGCTGATATCAATCCACATCTCATGTTTCTATCTACTCAGTCAAGGAACAAAGAGGTAGCCTCTATATACAGACTGCAATGGATGAAAAAACTTACTATCAAGTGCTTTCCGGTATGCTTGGAGCATAGCTCTTCCTATAATCCCAGAGCCCATGACAATCAAGTTTGCAATAAGCTTCCCTGCCTGTAAATCAAAAAGCAAAACTATGTAAATAAGTGGCACAACTCAAAATAGCAGTAGTTCATGCATTTGGATTTTTTTTGGATATGTATGCTTTCAACACTGGTCCTTGGAAGGGGGAGGACATTTCGCAACATATCCAATGCCAAATCAACCATGAAGCAAAGCCAATCCATTCCAATCAAACCTACGGGCACGATACCACGCCACAGCGGTCGCAGAAACTAGTTACCACAAAATAATTGAAGAGCGAAGTCTCTAATTATCACAACGCGATGCCGTAATTCGGCAGCTTGCACAGACCAAATCATTTGCTGATGCGGTTTGACTTCGTTTGTACTGCCAAATCTAACAAACGAAAGCAAGGTGCGATCCAAGTATAAAAACAGGCAAATCCCTGTGCCGGTTTATATTCGAAAATTATTTTTCCCCTGGAGAAATCTGGCAAACTGAGCCCCCGGGATCGCATGCTGTTCTTCCACTCCCCTACCCCGCGAAACCGCGATCCATTCCCTCATGCGTATCGAATCGAGCGATTACACCAACCACACGAGGAAATTTAACCCGTGATCTTACACAGGCGGCGTGTCGCCCATCGAGGAGCCCCGAATCAAGCCAATCGAATCCGGCCTCAGCATCCACCCATCCACGGGTCTCTACTTCTCCCAAAACAACACAAAAAAAAAACAAAAAAACAAAAAACAAAATCAGAGCAGCATCGCGCGCGCGCCGAGCGGGATGGGGGCGAGGAGGAAGGGGTGAGGGATGCGAGGGGAACTCACCATGGCGGACAGGCGGCGGCGGCGGCGGCGGCCGTGGGATTGCGCAGCTGAGGGGGAGGGGAGCAATGGAGGGAGGGAGACGTGGAGGAGGAGGAGGGGTGGACACGCGTGGTGATGCTTTCGCTTCCCCGGGCTGAGCCTCGCGTCGCGCTTGGATCGTCCAGTTGGGTTGGGCCGGCTAGCTTGTTCTGGGAGGTTCTAGAGATGAAAGGAGCGGAGGCTCGGACCGGGCAGGGCTCAATAGCCTGTCTCTGGGCTCTTCGTTCGGCCTAGTCCATTTTTTCCTTGCTAGTATGGGCCTACAAGCCCGTGGTTCAGCTGAGGATGGAAAAACACCATTTTGACTCTCTCAAGTACTATATATAAAATATAAAAAATCTGAAGGCCTCATTTCTTTTTCGCTTATGCTTATATTTATTAGCCAAAATTTAATTTTTCAATCTTAAATTTAGATTGATTTTGAGGATTTTTTATCGTAGTTTTATTTTTCAGCCTTTGTTTTTAGATCGTTAAAAAACGTATATAAAAATTTTATTCACAAATTATTTTTCATTTGTAAATATGCCGTTTTGTTTTTTTTCTCCAAATAGCCAAACAATGGGGCTGTGATTCGCTCAACCACAGAAACCATGTATGACATCTTTCTCAACGATCAATACCATTTAATTTGTCTCCCTAGACGGTTTGGATGGGAAAATATGCGATGGAAACTACATATGTAGTGGAAACCTGTAAATTACCGTTAGATCGAAAAATAGATATCTGAGATTCGTCCACGTTATTATGAGTAAAAATTTTACTCGTTGTCCATTTTTCGATCCAAAGACAGTTTCCACTGCATTTATGGTTTGCACTACATATTTTCTCGGTTTGGACATCATTTTATGTTATGTAGCAGCTACATGGCACGCTAACATAGTCTTTTAATCAATGTGACGTCTACGTGGTATTATATCCACTAATTCATTGTTAGGTTAAATTATTTCAACTCCTGGTTGACTGCCAATAAAAATTAAAATTCTAACGGTAATTCTAAGCATGTTCAAATAAGTTCCCAATCAACTAACATAGTTAAGTTTTTTTTAAAATAAATAAATAAAGTTATTCCTATAATCAAATTGATAATCCATGGTGATAATCTGCTCAACAATTTACCATGGTGATAATATTATATGAATATTGACTCTAATCAAACACATACAAAGCTACTATCAAATTACCAAACGATCGATTTTGGAACCAATCCAATTCAGACCTCAGTCAGATCAATGAGTCAGCCTCTCAACGCTTAGTTACACACATTGCATTACGAGGGTGATACAAAAACAACTTTGCTGTGGTCAATCGAATCTGGATATCTTGAAAATTACTGACATACATACGCTACTGGAATACTACTACTACTACTACTACTACTACTACTACTACTACTACTACTACTACTACTACTACTACTAGTTCTTATCTCGGTAGCTAGGTAGAAGATCAAGAGGACATCAAGCATCCAAGTTACTACAGTATTCAAGCTGCCCCTGATCGAAGCAAACATATACAAAATGGACGCACGCACGCCACACTCTCGTTCTTGGCTTTCTAGCTGCATCAACCAAATCTTTCCCAGCTTCTTGATGATGAGTCGATCGACTTGATTCTTCTTCTTCTTCTTCCTCCTCCTCCTACGTCTTCTGATCGATCGATCGCCATTGCTGTCTGGCAATTTGCTGCAGCTGTAAGTGAGTACGTCAGTAACCTAGGTGGCCCATCTCCCAGTTCAGCTTCGATGCCACCCTGTCGTGGTAAGGCACGTACTCCTGCAGCAGAAATGTTCATCAGAGTCTGCAATGTTCAGAGGTCTGCAATGCAAGAACCTGAAAGTCTGAAACCCAAGCTCGATATATCGAGTGACTGTCTTGTCAGTCATCGTGTACCTCTAGCTTGTCCATCAGCTCCTCCGCCGTCGGCGCCATGACGATGATCCGCCGCGCGCTGGTGTTGATGAACCCTTCCTCCACCGCCTTGTCGATGAACGTCAGCAGCGAGTTGTAGTACCCGTCGACGTTGAGCAGCCCAACCTGAAGAACAAGACATTCAGACATTTTTTTCAGTTATTTTGCGGTTCTGAACTTTCTGAAGAACTCTGAGCATGCAGTATGTAATGTACCGGCTTATGATGGATGCCAAGCTGTGCCCATGTAATCACCTCGAGCAGCTCCTCCAGAGTCCCGTACCCTCCTGCATCATCAACACATTCCCATGATGAACTCTGAATGAATATTCGGTGCGCACACACAGCAAGATGCTGGACAGATAATTTTTTCAGTGTTCATACATCCATCTACTACTACTCATCAGTCAAAGAATCACTTGCAGTGGTAGCTTAGCTAGCTCCAATTATTGGTTACACTAGATAGAAAGATAGGTAGCCCCAGCTTTCTTTTTTTTTTTCTTTTCAGGCATGTATGGTGCATGCACTGTTCAGTGGCAGAAGTTAATTTCTTGCTCCCATCTTGCTGTAACTCTCTCTGTCAGGGACTTGAATGTTCTTTTTCACCTGATCCAGATGAGATAAACTTGCAGACTATACTACTGTACTATACTACACCATGTTAGTAGCACAGTAACATTTTCTGACTGACAGTTTGTAAAGTAAATCTCACCAGGTAGGGCTATGAAGGCATCAGACTGCCTTGCCATCTCTGCCTTCCTTTGGTGCATATCAGCAACTGGCCTCACCTCCCCCACTGTCTCACCACTTATCTGCCAGAAACAATGAACCATGATTTGGTTTTTGCAATCAGCAATCATCCTGAGCAATGCATGCATGATAAAATGCAAAGCTGAACAGTAAAAAGAGTTTCTTGGCATGCCATGATACTATCATACTGTGTGTTGTAGTGGTGATGGTGGTGGTGTATGTGCAGTGCAGGCAAACACTAGTAGGAGTAGCTTATACATTCCCAAGAGGGCATGATTGTGCTCCAAGGGGAGCAAGAAATGGCACTTGATGATTTAACTACTACTCTTTGCCTCCATGAAGAATGGTAAAAGGGCCAGGTAGGAAGAGGACCACAAGAAATTGAAGACAGGTGAGTATGGATGGCCAGCTTTAATTTCTTTGTGGCATGATTATGGATGGTATAGGTATAGTGACATGGTATACAGGATAAGCACAAAAGGTACAGAGTCATTACTACTCCCATACTCTATCACACATTATGGGTCAATTATATACTTATTTTTTCTTAAGAGGTTTCAAATCTTGCATACCCCAAAACTCTTGAAATTATATACTGGCTGATACAGCCTTTGTCCCAAATAGTAACTACTTTTAGACTATGTACTTGAACAAACACTATTGTTATTCTAGTGTATGACAACCGACTTAGCCCTCATTTACAGCAAGACCAGTAGGCTTTATCCTTCTTTTTGAACAAAATAATTGTACTAGTAATATACTAGTACTGTGAACTTTTTTCTCCCAAAGTAATATTTTTTAACCCAAAAAGAACCTTTTTTTTTTATCAAACTTCACACACACAACAAGAACATTCCTCTGGGCAAGACACCATAGGCAGTCAAAGACAGTGCCCTCTACTTCTACACCTCTGCCTATAAACAACACCCTGCTTCTGCTCTAGCATCAAGAATGCAAAAAAGAAAAAGGAAAAAAAAAAGGTCCTCTTTCTCTGTAGAACAGGATGATGCCACAGCAAGACTTTTTGGGGTTAAGGAAATTAACATCTGTAAAGCTGCATCTCGGTGAGTTGTTTAATCTCACGCCAAGATCTGGATTTGTGCCCCTGAAACTGAAAGAGCATGTAGCCCTTGATCACAACTGCTCAGGATTTATTCTTTTTTTGCCCAAGTGCCAATGTCCCCTGGGACTCCAACAACGGCTGGTTCATGGGGTCCAAACTCCCAAACCCCCCATTTGATTATATTTTCTACTAGTATCACTTAACCAAAAACCTTAAAAACTTCCAAAAGATGAGCTCACTGCCATGATTGGGTTCGTGACAACGCAAGTACTGCTACGGGTACAAGCTGAAGTGGATCAACTCAAGGTTATTAAAATCTCGATTCTATTAACTGTCATACGATTTTACGACTTTGTAATCCTAGTTAAGATGTCTGATTTTACGATTCTATACAAGTAGAATCTTCAATTTTATGTTTTTTTAATACATACGATTCTATTATTCGATCTTAGAACTTTTGATTCTATTCAGAATCACAAATTTAACAATAATGTTGTGATTATAACTGAAGGTGGAAAATAGATAGGGCCCAATCGTCAGTGACTCGTTCGGGGCAGTTTGTGTGTATGTTTCTTTGTGTGCATAGTGACTTACATGCCGATGAGAACCAACAATACATTATTCCTACATAATATACTCCCTCCGTCCTAAAATATAAAAAGTTTTCCTAGTACAATGTATGTCCAGATTTATTGTACTAGGATGTGTCACATCTATCCAAAATCACTCTTATATTATATACTCCCTCCGTCCCATAATATAGCAACTTAGACATGATGTGACACTTCATATTATAACGAATCTGGATAGTAAGCATGTCCGGATTCATTGTACTATGAAGTGTCACGTCCGCTACTAGGTTGTTATATTATGGGACGGAGGGAGTAGCATATAGGAGTACGGTAACTTTGTTGCAGGTAGACACAAAAATGAGACGTACCTCTGGCGTCATGAGAGTCTTGGGAATGACCCTGCGCGTGGACAACAAGATGACAAAAAGAAGCGATCAGCACAAGAACTCGGAAACACAAGCTACTAGCTAGAAGTACTAGCATGCAGTAATTAAAAACTGCTAAAACTATCAAACAAGGAGAGACACATTCTCCTGGGGATTCATGCAGTAATTAGTACTAGTAGTAACAGTGTGCAGCTAGCATGGAGGAGTGGAGTACCCGATGACGTGGCGGCCGCCGTCGAAGACCGCCTGAGAGACGAGCCCCATGAGGCCGATGCTGCCGCCGCCGTACACCAGGTCTATGCTCCTCGCCACCTGCATGCATAACACACACAGATTAACCAACTAACCGCACGGTTAAATTTCAGTTCCAGTTATAACTCACGTACAACTACGGGAGACATGCAGCCATAGATTAATCAAAAGAAAACATGCTTTTAATGTATTTTAGAGCCGTTTACAAACGTCGATTAAATTCAGTCGTACGTGAGTCGAACAGGTGGGTCGTGTGCACTCAAAAGGGGACTAGTATGAATTAATGATTGATCAACTGGGGTAGTAACTAATAAGCCGGCAAGATGCGGTCCAAGTTACTATTTTTCTTGGATTAATTACCCAACCTGCTGCAGCAGCAGCATGTAGCAGCTCATGGCGAAATGGTGATTGATCGTCTTTAATGCGAGGCGACATGGATGACGCAACAGCAGCGATGCTGAGCTGAGCTGATATGAGCTATGGCCGCGAATTATGGCGCCGTGAATGCAGTAGGACCCGGCTCGGCTATGGACCATGGAAAATTTCGGTCGGCCGCCGCGCATGAACAGATGGGACGGCGACGGGGAGGCAGGAGGAGGAATAAGAAGACGATCCATCAGCTTGGTGGAAGAAGTCGGCGTGTGCAGAAAGTTCAGAAACGAAATTCGCTATAGCTTGCTTGCTCAATGAGCAGTGGTAGTAGCAGAGGGGATTGTTTGGCAAAAAAAGTCTGCAACTTTTGCATTATATTTGCAGACCGATGAACTGATACGGTTATAGTGACAGACTGACAGTGACCATGGACAGAGGAGAAGAAGAAGAAGAAGAAGAAGAAGCATGTGTAGGAGTAGCATGCATGGACAGAGTTAGAGTTTAATTACCAGCTCGTTGCCGAGCTCAATGGCGGCGTCATGGTAGCTCCTCTTCTTCCCCTGGCTGCTGCCGCAGAAGACGCAGATCCTCTTGAACCTCGACTGCCTCATCTCTCTCTCCTCTACTATTCTCTTCTCTTCTTGCTACTCTCTACGATCTATCTAATCCTTGCAGTGAAACAGCTAGCTAGTAATTGCCTGTATTTATCACCCTCCTCTCCTCTGCCCTTAGCTAGCGTCGTCGTCACTGTGCTGCTGCTAGTGCAAGCAAGCGCACTACGCTGCTGCTGCTGCAACGACGGGTTCCTTGTGATCAGCTAGCAATCTCCCTCTGAGCTAGTAGTGCGCCACCCATGGCTATATACTACATAAAAGTGGGAGAGGAGAGAGGAGGAGATTGTAGTGATGAGTTTTCACTTTCCGGCGAAATGGACGGGTGGGTGTGTAGTACGTTGATTACTGGGGTTGATGTGTGAGTCCGAGTCACCTTATCGGGATTGCCGGTGCAAATTGGCTTCAAAACAGGCCGAGCCGGCGAAGGTTGCTGCTAGCTACTGTATATCCATCGTGGGGTTCATCTCCATTTGCAGGGTCGTTTTAGGAGAAAGCTAAGCTAGCGCCTGCTTATACAATTATACTAGTGCATGCGACGGGGAAAACGCCTATTACAATTATACTATAATTAGATTTAAAAGTTTTTCCTAAAAAAACTTACGGCATTTTTTAAGATAGTCCATATTTTTTTTCTTCTCTTTACTTTTTGTTATTACCTTTTTATTTGTTACTTCCTCTGTCTGAAAACATAGCAAGTTTGTTTTAGCCTTTAATATGAGTTTTAAGAAGAGGTTTAAAAATACTTGGGTTACCTCTTCGAGGTGGGTGCGGTACAGGCTCATACTACTTAGAAGTTAGGACTATAATAAAGCCAAGTGATAGTAGAGATAGTATAGGTAGTTTAGTGACAAAATTTGTTATGTTTGAAACAAAAATTGAAATAGAAGTTGTTATATTTTAATACGGAGGAAGTACTGTATTTTTAATTATATGGTAAACGCACTCGCCACTAGATACATGATACCACACACACTGGGAATATGTTCCTAACACACGCTAAAAAAGACGGGGACCAACAACACATTTTTGACATCACTGAAATCCTATTGAAAACCCATCTTATTCGTGCATAATATTTGTGGAAATTAGGACTTAAATATTAATAGTTGGAGTAATGCACCCACGACTTCATTATTCGCCGGTGCATCGCTTACTATTTTTGTTCTTTTCTTACTAATGCAACTACTTTCTATTAAATAAACCATATAACATAGTGGAATGTTTCATATTGATACAACAGAAAAAATTATAAGACTAGCCTTCGAAAGGTATAATCAAGAAAAAGACAGTCATGCCACGCGTCTATGATAGAAAAGCCCACTACTGAGAGACAACAGTAAGACATCCCAACTGCACTCAAGACACTTTTGGGAACAAGAGGGGGTGGGCGAGAGAAGAATGGATCCACTCTCCTATGTACAGACCGCTAACATGGCCATCTTGTGGTGAACGGAAGCGCCTCCAAAACAGGATAAACCGTCTGAAGCAGAGATTGGTGAGAAAGGACCTGTCTAAAGCGAGGACGTAGTTTTCACCTGAAGAAATTAATTCCCTAGGGAGGGAAGGAAGACGCCAAGACAACAACCCCAAGAAAGTTACGGCTCCAAAATGGCATCACCGTTGTCGGCCCTGAAACAGGATGGGCTTTAGCCTGGAGATCTTCCAGCTCTCCCATGCCACTATCTCCCCATTGCTACCATCTTCCATCAGTCAAAGACCGTCGTGCCATGCTTTCACCATCGCTCCTCCACGCCCATCTCCTGAGACCACTGCGCCATACCGTCATCACCAAGAGCCAATTTGTTGGAGAGACATTGGGTCTAGCTAGTCTAGAGAATAACATCGGATCCTGCCTTGGAGCTACCAGATCCGACAGCTCCTTCCACCCTCTCCACTGCCACCTGCCACTCCACCACCCCGCCATCCGCTGGCCCTCTCACTAGATACGGCTATGAATGGTCTAGATCTGTACGACCACCTCCAACCTCTTGGTCACCTCAATGCCCGAACTGAATATGCTTTCTCGGGGAGAAAATTCATGTCGCCGCTGTCCTTATAGCCACGTGGCTTGTAGGTGTGCCTCTCAAACAGTGGCTAGGCATTATAGAGGAACAGAGGGTTGGTGGCTATGGTCGTCGCTTCGTCGTCTCCCGTGTCATCTCTAGGATTGGATGTGAGATAGAGGACGGGTGAATGCTACTACTAATTTAATCCTTAGAATAGGACTTTGTTTCAAGATAAAAGATAAGAGATGCTGATTTGCTTGACATAGCTAGAACTCAATTAAGGCTTTAGTTATTCATAGATAGCTCCACACAAAGCAGCATGGACGCAAAATAGATGTTCTTTCTGTCTGCTTACTAATAAATACTTAGTACATCAACTTGCGTAGCTGCAAACAGTTGCACAGGCCAAAAACACGGCTAACAGTGGACGGCAATATGGATTATTACATGATCAAAACCCCACACAATTACGTGCATGTGGTGTGCGCATATAGTGGTTTGCGTGTGTGTCTTCTGTGTAATCGATAAAAAAAATAAAAAATAAATAAAAATCCAGCACAAGCATGACAGAAAGTGATATGAATATATATATATATATATATATATATATATATATATATGATCTATCATTTGTCCAAGCTTAATGCCATATCTGATCTGCACCAATCGTATCTCTACTGCATTTTTTTTCTCATTTTTGGTTGTGCAGAGCAGAGGAGTTAATTGACTCCACAGTTTGGTTGCTGGCGAGGCTGGTGCGAACATGCCAACCAGCAGCAGCAGCAGCCACACGCCACGCCATCCGCCAAGACAGCTGTTGATGGGCGCGGGCCGGGGCATGTACGCAATGTAGCCGTGTGCAGGGGAGGCGCGCGACACCGGCATCTGCATGGGCATGCATCGTCGCGGCGCGCGCGCACACGAGGTGTTCGGCCCGCGTGGGGCGCCGCGCGCCCGCGCGCGCGAGGCGCGCTGCCCGCTACGGCCGCCGCGAGAGGGGCGCGCGCGGCGCGGAGAGGCACGGGCACCGACCGGCACGGGGTGATGGGGGTGGCGCGCGTGGCGTTGCGCTGCGTGTGGGGCTCCGTGCCGGCGGGCGCGCGAGAGTTCGTGCCCGACCGACCGCACGGCGCGCGCTTTGCATTGGCTGGTGTTTTCGGTCTCGACGCGCGCGTGGTCCGGCAGCGGCATGGCGCGCGGGCCTGCACGTTGTCTTGGGAATTAAAACAAAAAAAACCAACACATGTAGTATAAAACCCAGGGTGTACCACCGTACATTGGTCCTGAACTAGGTTGTTCTATGTCTCTTTGTTATTATAGATCGTTTTGATTATTTTTACTAGTTAAATTTTTTCTAGGTTCGATTAAATTTGTAGAAAAATATAGCAATTTTGTTTTAATTTTCATATTCATTTTTTTATATTTTATCAAAATATATAGGTTCCAATGTTATATTTAATAAAACGAATTTGGTATTGTAAATATTATTTTTTTATATAAATAAAGTAAAAAAAGACTTATAATATAAAATGGAGAGAGTGCTAACTTATTTATAATCTACTCTACAAAATTCAGAGATGTGGTACATAGGGTTAGAATTCGGAGAAGTATGTTTCCTGACAGTTGGTTAGTTCGATGCTCAATTAGTTTAGCTCTACATGTTGCATGCTTGCAGTACTGTACTTACTGTAGTGTAGTATTGCGCGTTGTCGTTGGCCGTGTCGGTTTCATGATCGATCGATGCTTGTTTGCTAAGTCACTAGTTGGACAACTTACTAACCGAAAGAGGTTAAAAAATACGATTAACTTGCATGCGTGTTAGCGTTCGGTGCCGGCCACCCAAGCACGCACCGCACGCGCGCGTGCCCGTTAACCGGCGGCGCATGTACGTCGCCGAGCCTGCGACGCCGGCCCTGCCGTACGTGCTCGTCGTCACCCGGTGAAAAGCGGTCTCCCCCTGCCTCTATCAATATCAATAGAATTTCGCACCGTCTCGTGCGAGTCGTTCAAAAAAGAAAACGGTCTCCCCCACGAGCAATTTTACAGTTCTTGAAAATGTATCATTTTTTCCATTATAAATTTGATACCTCTTGATATGTAGGTACTTTTTCTGTTTCACAATGTAAGTCATTCTAGGTATTTACATTGTGCTTACATTGTGAAACGGAGAGAGTAGTAGGTACTATAAGGTACTAAATTTTATACTAAAATTTTGGTATCTCTTTAAGGACTGTAAAATTACTCCTCCCCCACATTTAGAGAAAGTTTGTAGCAACCATAGCTTATTATAAAATCTTTGGTTCAGTTTAGAGAAGCTTAAGATTATAAGAATCCGTTGGTTGGTAATCAATTTGAATATGAAGAAGTTGGGTTATATAACTAGTTTCTTTTCTGAATTATATAACTAGAGATTCTTGGAATCTTAATAAGAATCCGGACTGTTTGGGGGAATTGGAGCATTTGAAAGAAGTAGCAGTAGCTAGAAGCTCTTTCAATCAGGGCCTCTAGTTTCTCCGCGCATTAATTTCTCAGTTGCATTGAAAAAAATTGTAGTAGTAGAATTCACAAAATAATCTAGATGTCAGAAACTGACAAATCCAGATTTTCGCTGACTACTCGTAAAATACTCATAAATTAAACTGCTTTGAATTCTCTAAGCTCCCAAACAGAGGACACCTCTTTGTTTTTTGGGGGGACAAATGTTGATCCTTAATTATGGTTGCAGCAACGCAATATTTTCAAAGTAATTCTCTACACGCTGCATGCAAGATCTAATAGCAAATCAAAACAACTAAAAAGAAATGAAGACGATCGATCGGAGATCGGATTACACCAGATAGCCGGAAGGAGAGAAAGGCAGGGAGCTTTTAACATGCACGCAGCAGCAAAGCAAGCCGCAGCAGGTGATCGATATCATATCATCACTAATTAATCCTGAATTTCTGATACCCCTAATCCGATCCTTTACATGAGCTTAATTAACAGTGGAATCCACAAACTCTCATCCACCACTTACAAAGTTACAAAATTTTTATATTCCACGCAACTGTGGGGAAAAGCTACTAGCATCGCTTTCTCCCCACGGTTTCCATTGCTAGCTAATGACGCATCAGAATGAAGTATAGGTTAGACTATTAATTAAATAATTAGCACTCCATATTATAATTTGGGACACTGCTGATGTGCCTTCTGACAGCCGGCCGGTCGGATTTGACTGTCATTTGACCAGCCTCTAGCTCCTAATAACATATGCTGGCCCTGATGCATGCCTGGATGCATGCCTACATGGCTACAGAGAGCATGCAAAACAATTGATGCTTTGGTTGGTTAGTGATCGGTATGTCCATCCGTAAACAAGAAGTTACACTCTG